AAAGCTGATAACTCTTTGTTCTACTTGGTCACTGCGAAACTAACCATTTTTATTTTAATCTATGTTGATGATATTCTTATAACAGGTAGTGATCAGTGCTTCATTGACCAATTTGTCTCTCGCTTGAATCAAGCCTTCTCTTTCAAAGATTTGGGGTCCCTATCTTATTTCCTCGGCATTGAAGTCCAACGCACACCAGCCGGTCTCCACCTCACACAGACCAAGTACATCACCGATCTCCTGGAGTGCCTTGGTTTGTCCCACATCAAGCCTTGCCCGACTCCTGCTGTGACTGGAAAACAACTATCGACCTGTGACGGTGATCCCATGCCTCATCCTACTCTATATAGAAGCACCATTGGCGCCCTCCAATACTTGACTCATACACGGCCTGAGATATCATTTATCATCAACAAACTCAATCAGTTCTTACAAAATCCGACCACTGTCCATTGGCAAGCTGTTAAGCGCGTTCTCCGCTACCTGCAAGGTACTTCTACCCATGGGTTGTTCTTGCAAAAATCCACGAAACTTCCTCTCATCGCTTATTCAGATGCTGATTGGGCATGTAACGTGGATGATCGCCGCTCTATTGCTGCACATTGTGTCTTCCTTGGGAGTTCCTTAGTTTCATGGTCCTCTAGAAGCAACATGTCGTTGCTAGATCAAGCACTGAATCTGAGTATCGTTCGCTAGCTCATGCTGCCGCCGAAATCAGTTGGCTTCAGTCCCTACTTACCGAAATCGGTCATTGTCCACCTAGCACCCCTATTATTTGGTGTGACAACACCAGTGCCATTTCACTTGCCGCCAACCCTGTGTTTCACTCTCACAGCAAGCATGTTGAATTGGATGTTCATTATGTCCGAGATAAACTACTAGCTCGAGCTCTTGATGTACGTTATGTACCCACCAATGACCAACTAGCTGATGGTCTCACTAAAGCACTATCCGAAAATAGGTTCTGTGAGCTACGAAGCAAACTCGGCGTGACTTTATCACCCACTCGTTTGAGGGGGGATGTTACAATACCTCAGTAAATGGTCATCCCTTCAATTAAGGTCATCTTCAACCAAGGAATTGATTACTCTCTCCCTCCTATTCGTTACTGTCAATATTCTGTATTTATGTTTGTTTCCATTCTTGTATAACCAATTTGGTAGCAGACCATGTATACATGGAAATAAGATCATTGTAATAATTCCAATGGTGGATTATATAGCACCCACCTTCACCTTAATGCAAAAGTAGCAAAAAAGACATTTTCTCAAAAATCTTATTACTTTTAGAATTCTCAGTTCAACATACAAATTTGTATGAATGTAAAGTTATGAACATTCTGTGTAAAGTTAAATCAAGTCACCTTAGCATATAATCTAAGCTTAAACCAAAAAAGGATCGACATCATTACGCCGACGAGGTAGAACGATGACAAGTTTATGTATACAGCCAAGTGCTGCCAACCACAGCCTCTAGCCACCCCTGCAGTGCAGCTCAATGAGAATCATAAGAAAGAGGGCAGTTTGCTGAGAGGGGAATGAAGTTTTTTAGTACCGAACCGGATATGGCGCCTTGCACTGAGTCCAGCGTTATTGAGATAGCGAGAAGCGGTACCATCGAAGAGAACTCATCTGCAATTGCAGTGCTGTTGCTGAAGAAGCTAGCCCAGGTGGTGTGGCCAAATGCAAGTGCCAAAACAACTAGAAGAGGGAGGAGGAAAGAGAGCTTGAGAGTTGCAAACATGGCAGTTTTGGCCCTGTCAAGATTGTCTGCTCTCAACTCATTTGAGACCCTTGTACTGCCACAAATTGTCATTTGGTTGAGAAGAAACCTTCCATGAAACTGAGAAAAAGACCATGAATTCCTAGATGGAACAAAAAATGCTTGAGTGGCATGTCAAGCAAGACAAGCTCTATCAAATTGATAGAAAGGTGAAGGGACAAACGTATCAGGTCGGGTAGACTGAGATTGTGTCGACACTAGGTATATCATATGAGGTGGTCCGTGGCTGTGCTCTATCTTAGCGTGCTACAGGTATGATATTGTCCACTTTAAGCATAAACCCTCCTAGTTTTACTTTTCGTTTTGTCTAGAAAACCTCGTACCAATGAAGAAAATTGTCCTCATTCTACTCTAGCCAATATGAGACTTTGTTTGTCCTCCCAACAATTTTTTTCCGTGCCTTCCCAAACTAGATGTTGACAATTCAAATATGACACATTTTTCTTGAGGCATAGGAGAGAGATGATGCATTGGTATCCATTATCCAATATGAAGTACCTATGAAGGTTAAATTGGCTAATTATACTCGGATTTGAGTTGAGTAAGAAATAGGTTTAAATATTATTTTGATCTACTTTGACTCTGGTTCATTTTGGTCCATGTACTTTAAAAACGTTTATTTTGATCATTATACTTTCAACTTTTATTCATTTGTCTTTGTATTTGAAAGTGTTCATTTTGGTTCTTATATCCTTAAAAAAGGACTAATTTGGTCCTCTTTGTAAACTTTTAACACAAAGTTTATACCTAATGAAATCCTTTAATATAAATTTATGACTACATTTCATGAAATTTGGTGAGAGTGAAGTGTTATGCTAAATTTATAATAGAAAAAAATGAGATAAAAAATGAAAACTAAGAGGTAAAATTAGTCACTTTTTGGTAGTAGATGCATCGAAATAGACGTTTCAAAAGTATAGAGATTAAATGGACGTGTCAAAAGTTTTAAGACCAAAATAGACGTTTTGGAAGTACAGAGACCAAAATGAACAAAAATCGGAACTACAGATACCGAAATGGTGTTTAAACCAAAGAAATAAATAAGCTTGGGTAGGTTTTCAAGTAAATAATTGAGTTCTTTAAAACTAATCCCAAAAAGTGGCACATAAGAAAAACGATTAGGAGATTCAACTAAACTAGAAAGAACGTAATGAAACTTTTAAAACTATACAGACTAATAGAAACTAAAGTCAAAGCTAAAATGATAATTTGAACTTTCTTGTCATAAACAAACCTTGCTGCAGCACTGAGACCATAGGTGATCATGTAGGCAATGGTTTGTGTGTTGTCACTAAAGGATCAGAAAATGAAAATCCAAGTAAGAAAAATGCAAGGACTGTATTTGTATCAGAAGAACATGGAAAAAGTAAATTTACTTACCACATTGCTATTAGTGAAGTAGTCGTTTTCGGGTTCGGCATCAACCCGGCTAAGGATACCATAACCTCGACCGCCCAATACTCCAAACTTCAACCAGTTCGAACAACAGAGAACAAAAAGGTTTTCATGAGTCATGAACAAAACATGTGGGCGACTTAAAATTTTCAAAGTGTGCTTATCGGTCGAACTGTTTCTGTTAAATCACCAATCAACATTAAAAGCTTAAGTTGATGGATTACTGTAAATTGAAACTTTAACAGTTTCAAATATTCACAGTTGTTGTTCGATAAGTTAGCATTGAGGACATAGTGTTGGGGGAACTTACCACACCATTGCTGCAGAGGGAATAGCTAGTTTTAAGCTTGAAAAACTGTAGCTAAAAGCTTCTAATGAGAAGCCTTTCCAAGATTTCTCAAACCTCTTTGCTTTAAGTACATATATAGCCAAAATCAGGCATGAAATCCATAACGAGATCGAAGCGGTCAACGGAGCTCCCGTGAAACCGAGACGCGTCCAGTGAACCAAACCGTATGCGATAGCTATGTGGATGAGCATTGGCACTGCAGAGAAGAAAACCAGAGGCATGACAACAGATTGTGTCTGCAGAAACCTCAGGATGTTCTGCAGCAAGCCATATGCAAATAGTCCCGGGATGAGAAACTTCATGTACACTGCAGACATCGTCGAAATCTCGGGGTCTTGATGGAGCAAGACTAGCATTGGCTCTGTGTAAATCCACAGAATTGATACAATGATGGAACAAAAGAATGATAAGATGCAAGAGGCTTGAAGATGCAGCCCCATCTTCCCGTAAAACTTCCCACCAAACGCTTGCCCACAAAGCGTTTCGAGCGCTCCGCTCAGTCCTGTCTAAAGAACAAGAAGAAATTTTCATCAAAATGATATGGAAACCATCAGAACCAAAACAGATAAAAGTTGGCATTCTCATCTTATTTTCAACTCTCTCTAGAATTTAGAACAGATTTTACTAAGGCCATGTTGAGTTTTAGTGATGCTAATGAGCTTTGGATCAGGACAATCTTATGCTAACTGCAAGAAAATGGGCAACAGATTTTTTGACATCCTCACCTTAAGATCTGCTGCCACAGTTGCCTCATAATAGTTGAATACTCCATTTCTTATATGATATGTGCTGAAATGGAAATGTTAGAGATTATTACAATAGACCATACCAAGCAGGGGATCTTCTAATTCATCGGCCTTGTTTACTTTGAACTGCAAATTCCGTTCCTAATCGGAACTTCGATTGTTATGTCTAACGAGTCACTAGACTTTCAAAAGTTTCATTTCCATTTGTTAAAATTAATTATGATTTTATGCAAATGTTGTTAGTATTCTTAACTGAATGATGAAGTGGAATGTCTATTAAATAAACGTTAATTGATTTCACATGACTTGATAGGCATAATTCCCAAAAGAAATGGATAATTTGACCGATAGAATGACAAGTGCAATATTTATTTGTCTCTCATGTCATACCAAATCAATTAACATTTATGTAATAAGCATGTGACATAATTATTTAGTTAATAATGTTAGTAGTAGAAATTAGATAGAAGCACAATTCAAACCTCAAAGCTCAAACTTCAAAGTTCAGGGACTGAATCAATATAACCAACAACTTGGTAAAAATTAAATATATGTTTTAAGGAAAGGTGAAACAAACATCCAAAAGAAATTGCAAGGAACAAGGACACCACCATGTTTTCAAAAACATAAACTTAAAAGAATGAAATTATTAAGGCCTCGTTTGGTAATATTTTCGTTTCTATTTCTGTTTCTTTCTTTTTATTAAAGAAAAATAAATTGCAGGACTCCAATGTATACCAACTCAAGTATAACAAAACAATCATTTTATGAATATTTTGGAGAAAATTGGAAATGGAAAAAAAAATAAAAAACTTGTTTCGCTTGTTTTCAAAAAATTTTATACAATTTTGAAAATGGAACGTTCTAAAATACTTAGTTTTCTTGAAGAAAAATAGAAAGAAGAACGTTACCAAACAAGTCCAAAGATGTCAGAGCCATTTGGGGGCAAACTCCAAATTCAATTTCTTGTTATTTGTTAAGCTAACCCAGTTGACCAGCAAACATGACAGAAACCAAGGTAATCATGTAATACAAAACATTTGTGAGAATCATTGGAAGGGCAAACACAAGTTGGAGCTTTGATTCCTCCATGTCCACCACCACTACTCTCTTCCACCATCTCTCTTCTTTTGCTGCTGCACACCCGACCTCCAACAATGGCGCTCTACTGTAATCTTCCATCTCTTTCCCCATTTCCCATCAAGGTTGAAGAAATTTTCAATCAAACAGAAAGAGGATATACTGGCTTAAATGACCCTTTTAATCCTACCCTACTGGGCCTACTCTTTTGTGTTTGGTTCTAATTTGGTCACGTTTTAGAAAGTTGTGTGTGGTTTTAATTTGGTCCCTTTTAAAAAGCTTCATTGTGATCGTGTTAGATGCATAAATTTGGATGTACAAAATTACCCAATCTTCTAAAATGAAAGGAGGTTCTATTGTGTAACCTTTCATCATTCCACAGTTCGTTAGTGAAAACTAAGCCAAAAATACAATAAGAGAAATATAGAGAAAGTGTTGTAAATGACACAAACAATTTATACTGACTCTAATTTATTTGTTTGCATGTTTTAGATTAGTGTTTAATTTCTAGTAATGGTTAGTTTTTCAATTCTTAGGATAGTTTGCTTTTGTTTCTTAGCTGCACTCAGTGTAAGTCAATGAAAGGAATATGAAAAGCAAGATTGAAAATGAGAAGTTCAATGTAGAATGGTCTGATAATGCACGCTGATTGATTATAAGCTTTTTTGCCTTTGATGTCTGGTCAATGGAAATTTACACGATTTCTACTCTTGCGATAGTTAGAAAGGAAAGACACAATTCTTGCCCTTTTTCTATGGTGTTTTAAAGTAGTGTAGGATAGCTTCATTTTGCTAGTATTCCATGGCTGCCCTAGAAATTTAACCTTAGCATAATTTCAAGGGCTGAGTATCCCTTTCCAACTTGCCAGCAAGCTACTGACCTTAGAAAATCTACAAGAATTTCACCTCTTTAGAAACACTTCAGATAGTCAGTATTCCATATATCATTTTCATCTATCCTATCTTCATTTTACGTTTGGGGAGTTTTGTCCTTATTTATCCAATATCATTCACCAAGCGTTGAAGATAATGCTTCGTTTTAAGTTTGAGGGTGGGAGACTTCCATTTTATTGTAGCATTCATTCTTGTAATTCCCTTTGCAATGCATTCATTTGTAAAGCTATGCTAAATTAAGAGAGAGAAAAAACATTCCAAAGAGCTGCAGGGTCAGGAATGGCTAATAGCCCATAGCTATTAGCTAAAGTCAGTAGCAAGTTAGCAAAGATAGGAGAGTGGTAATCAATTTAAGAAAATAAGTTGGGGGACTTTTCAAAGGTTGCCAAGGGTGAGGGTGAAATGAAGTTGTCAGATGTGAATAAAACACCTTAGTCTTAGTGCAAGAGTTGTTTAATTCCTTTCTGGTTTGATGCTTGAGTAGATTGAGAAACTCTTAGCCACAGTAATGGATCATAGGCATTTGGTGAAGTTGTTAGCATGCATTGTTTTTCCATTCTATTGAGTGTAGAGTCGGGAGTAGCATTGCTTGGGGACAAGCAATAGTTCAAATTTAGGGTTGTGATAACTCTCCAAAGAAGAGTTATTTGTACAAGGATTTCATATAAATTAGCTAAGGATAGCCACACTAACACCCATTCTACACTGATTTTGTGCAAATAACGTTTTACATTAATTAAATCTTTACCTTATTAGACAATACTAACAGTTATGAAGAATGACATAATTTTGAATGTTTTGATGCAGCATCAGAATAAAAAATGCAGAAAAACAGAGTTGACAGTAACATATTTTTACTCGAAAAATTACTGCAGTAAAACACAAATTCACCATTAAATTGGGCTGGACCCCGTTTTATCCATTTTGATTGTCCTAAAATTGAGGAGGGGTATAAATGCTTTCATTTCAAGGTTGCCTCCATTCATTCATTCTTCATTAAACCTTAGAGAGAACAAGATTAGAGAAGAAGGAACACACTTGGAGAGGAACCCGAAGAAGACAACAAAGAGAGTGAAGGGCTGCTATTTTTCCTCATTTTCTTCTTCTTTTGTACTCTTTAGTACACGATTTTTGTATTTTCTTCTTCACTTTTCTTGTATCACATTGCGTAGCTAAGTATCTATAAGGGGGAGGATGTTATGAACTTGTTCTTGGGCTGTAAACTTTACTTTGACTTGATGATGATATATATATATACTGAGTTGAAGTTGTTTTTAATGTTTTATTTTCAATGTGCTTGGCCAACATATTGGAATATCTTCTTATTAACTCTTGGAAAATTGTAATAGGGAGTGTTTGGTTTCAACTCGTGCTAGATTCTACTTTAGTTAGAGTGTGGGTACTTAGGAATAAAGCTCGCCTAGCAATGTTATAAACTGAGTATATATGCTGTCAAGTTTGTCTAAAAACATGAATAGCAGAAAATCTGGAAAATCTGGAAAGATTTCATGTCTGTTTCGCCAGTATATTACATCGTTAATGCTGTAGCATAGTTTACATGAGCCTAGAAGAAGTCATATAAACTCTTCCCCATTATTACATTAGTAGTTAACCCCCATTAAAGCCCATTTTGCTCTATAACCAGATTGATTTTAATTGTTTTATTTACTTGTTTTCTTACTCAGTGAATATTTTTTGCACTATTTAGTTTTGGTTTCACAAGCTTCTTTATTAAACATATTTTTGTTAAGTTTATTTGTTTTCTTAGGTAAACATTGAAGTTTTTAGTTATCAATCCTTGTTGATACGATCTTTTTATCACTTGCTACAACGGTTATGTACACTTGCACAAAGGGTTCTAAATCGTACCAACAAACATCCCCAATTCCTCGAATCTGGGAGAGCTTCCCATTTCCTATCTCATCGAGTCATGATTTCCTGCAGTGAAGGACATTAACTCTTGTCTGAAGATACATGCACCGAGACTGCACTATCCACTACCCATTCTGATGACGGATCCACAAATGTCGTGTCACTCTTATCGCATGCTAACAACATGTCATCTGACAAAAAAATTGTCTATACTTCCTTTTTCGATCCTCCTTAAGCTTCATGTAGTGTCTCTTGAAGTGGCCCTTCTTATGGTAGTAAAAACATTCAATCTCGTCATTCCCACTCCTTTGGCCATGTCTTTGTTGTTCTTCATAATGCATTTTCCTTTTACTTTTGCTATGAACTGTCAAAGTTGACTCCATAAAGTTCTCATCATGCGGAATTCTTCCCACTTCCTTTCCTGAAAATCTCCTTGGCAATCACAGCATCACATATCTATGAGAACTTCAAACTTTTATTCACTGGCAAATTTGACACAACTGTCTTCATCGTTTCTAGCTCTCAAGCAATCACAACAACTTTATAGTCTTCACTTCCTCTAAAAAAGTGATCTCCATCTTCACTCCAACTGATTCATCAGTTTAGTCACCTCATTAACGTCGGAGTTCACCGATGTGTCTTACTCCATATGAATGTTTAAGTATCTCATAATGGACCTTGCTGTTGGCAGAAGATTTTTCATATATGTCCATCAGTGCCTTCATCAGTCTTGTCGTCGTCTGACTCGCCATGAGACTTGCCACGTTCATCGACAAGCATGACATGATGATTGCTACGACCTGTCATCCATCTCGGCACATTCCTTGTCTATCATCCAAGCCAACTCATTTATGGTTTTGTGCATCTTCTTATATGTGAAAATATCCTTCACTTTCATCTTCCAAAACCCAAAATGTTCCCCGTCAAATCTCATAATCCCCTCGAAGTTGACCTCCCACTAAGGCCCATGATACTAAACCTTACAGCTCTGATAACATTTGTTGGGAAAATTACTTACCAAGTAACATTTTCCCTTCCACAGTCCGTCGGTGAAAACTAAGCCGATAACATAATAAGAGAAATATAGGGAAAGTGCAGTAAACGACACAAACAATTTATATTGGTTCATCCAACTATGAGCTACATCCAGTTTTCCACAACCACTTATTCGACTATGATTTTAGGATGATACAATGGGAATACAATAATCTCTTAAATATAGAGTCTTCAACAAAAGTCACCTAACTTCTAGGAACTACAACAATAGAACCCTAGGAATACAGGAATAAAAAATGTCACCAAATACTCACGACATCTGGTTACCGACGATGCGCTAAAATCCCAGGATCTTGTCTCTATATTTATGCCAATACCACTGCTGCCATGCCTCAATATCAGTGCACTAACACTACTTTGGGCGCACCTCTAATGTGCAATAACACCATCGAAAAAACCTAATGAAAACATGTTCTTTTTATAAAGAACGCTGCAACGTTGAGACACTGGTCGTAATGTCTCAACGCTACAAACTCCACAGTGTCAAGACAGAAAATGCGCCCCCTTCTTTTTCTGAGTTTTCGCGAGCATCGCAACACTGCTCTCCCGGCTCGAAGGCCTTAGCAATCCGCTTCGTTCCTTTGCACTTCTTGCCTCATCGCGACTCGTCCTGACTCGTTTCGGCTTCGATTTGGCTTCATAATCCCAATAGATTCAACAAAACTTGCAAGTTTGTTACTGAAGTCACACAGATTCCGATTCTTAGTCAAAATCAAGTGTATATACGAAACGTAGTAAGAAATTGAGTTTTGTAGCTTACCTTGATTATTTGTCTTCTCTCTTTACTTATAGAGTTGAAAATCTAAAGTCATCAAAATATCTTCTCTTTTTAAACTCTTTAGGTTGTGTGATTTAAATTTGATAGCTTGGTTGTTTGATGATCGAGGAAATTGTTAAACTCAAGAGCATCCTTGGACCGTCTAGTTGTACCTCGATCTAAATGGCTTAAAGTGTGTCATGGCCCTAGTCTGCCGGTAGGTCAGGCACGAGCTGGTCGGCCTTGAATGGGTCGACCCATGGTCAACCAGACTGGCACATGGAATGGTCGAACTCAAGCAGGTCTACCACAAACTAGCCTGTGAGCTTGGCTGGTAAGCCCACGGGCTGGTCGATCTGGAGTTTTGGTCGTTGGCTGGTCCCGTTCGGAATGTGTAATTTTCCAAGTTCGATCCATCAATCTATATTCATGGTCTTGACTCGTGTGGTTTGATTTAACTCACAAATTTTTGTTTTTTGGTTTTTTGTTTCTCACCCATACAAACTTGTATTCTCTTTACTATA